TGAGCTGACGGGACTTCAGAACAGAGCCAGCAAGGGTTGGATGCCTGTAGAGGTGTGTGCTGAAGGGTTGTGGGTTGGAGCTAATCCAGGATCGAGTTCATTTTTCTAGTTTTTAAAAACAAAAAGTCATCCATTTTCACATGAGGACAGGTATATAATAAGACTTCAGTTCGCTCTGGCTTCTCTCTGCGTTACAGAGGAGCAGTTTCTGTGAACTTCAGCCAGGGATCTCTCTGCCTCGCTCCCGTTTGGTTGGGCAGGCTGATGCGATGCTGGACTAGACCTTCTCACTGTTTCTCTGAATAGTTTTCATATGTTACATCTGTCATTTAAAAAAAGGGGAATACTACGCATTTCTGAGCCAGTCAGACAACGCTGCTTTGCCCAGATACTTGTATGATCAGAATTTAAATTTACCTTGATATTACTTATCCATAAGTAATAGCTTGTAACGACCTCTTTTTCCTCTTTCACCTTTTTTCTCTAGGCAAGCATGGGACCTTGCAGTTGATATTTGCCTTTCCCAATTACCTACAATTATAGAGGAAGGAACTGCCTTTAGGGTAAGTCGGGTAATATCTTGAAATGGTGTGTGCCCAGTTTAACCCTTTATTTGAAGCCTCAGTTCAGCGCATCACTTTTGCTTGTCGAGTCTTGAATTTTTGCAATATAAGGGTTTATATTTTTGGAAAATTGTCTACTCCCCTCACTTAGAGGAATAGATTTAAAATCAGCTTTTAAGTTCTTCGCTCTTGCATGCGATGTCTGATTCAGCCCGTACCTGTTGGTGAGGAAGAAACTCCCACCAGCAGAAATGATGGAGCACTCTTAAAATTTCAGAGTGCTCAGTCTTGACTAACAGTATTGTTACCAAAAAAAATCCCAACGTGGCAGCATGACTTCTGAAATGAAAAACTTTAAAGCAAAAATGATCTCTTAGAGGAGTTATTTTCAAATAAACACAAAATAGAAGTTGAGGGTATGTCCAAAGAGTTTTCTTAAGCGTAGTATCATTAATATGAGTCACTGGGGGTTTTTGTACTTCAGTTAATCTCGGAGAGCAGAAAAGTAAAATTTTTAATCTTTTATTTGGCTTAAATTCCTCTAGTCAGAATGGATTTTTCATGACATTCCTTTGACATTTCGTGAATGGAAACCTGTAAATAGTAATTACTCTACAACCTCAGATACCTATTGCACCATGGTGCGCTCTCTAATTTTACAGTAACGTTTTTGCATTTTATTTATGTGACCAAACTTCCAGAAGGTTTTCTGGCTGTGCTTGCAGGTTCCATCCAAAGACCTGCGTACAGGAGGAGAGCTGCCAACTGCTGCGAGGGGGGGGCTGATAAAGGTGTCCTCAGGCTTTTTTCCCTTTTTTTTCCCTCCCACTGCCTGTGCTGTTTTTTAAAATTTAAACAAATACGATTTTTCCTCTCCTAGCTTATGTCCATTTTTATTTCGGGTCTGTAGCAATGTCAGTGGGTGCTTTTAGGTCTTAGACCTCATCTCGCCACTTGCTGTCAAGCCAGTTGAAATGTAGCAAATTTCTGTGTATTTTGGGGATGAGAGGAGGCAAATAGCTGCGAGGGATTAGGCCAGAGAGCAGCAGATGAGAGCGGTCGTTCTCAACTAGCCACTGCTTCAGGATAGGGTGAGAACAATGTACAAGCAGGTTTTCAAGCCTGAAAAAAATTGAATTCTTGTTTATCTTGACTGGAACTTGGTAGAAGAGGTATCAACGTACAGTCGCAGCTGGGAGCGCCGCAAGTTTCCAAGCTTTTCAAGGCCAGCTCCAGTCTGCTTTCCCGTAAAACCCAGCGTGATTAACACCGTGTAGGTTTGTGCCGGTCCTGCGGGGAGGGGACGGATATTAACTACAGAAGGGGTTTGAACTTGGCTGTTGGTTTGGGAGTGGAAGGGGCTCTGCTCTACGCTGTGACAAATGGCTGGAGAGACTGACACTTCCTGATCTATTCCCGGTGTTCTAATCAACGTTTTGCCCTCAAACCTCTTGATTTACGCCTGGCAAGAAGTGCTGTGTATCAGGGGAGGTTAGCTGCTGCTGGCCAGCACTGATCCTGGGAGGAAGGCAGGGGGAAGGGGCGTTGCGTTATTGGGGTTCGTCACGGTGCCGTAACCAGGCTGGCAGGAGCAGCAGTCGGTGCCTGGGAGGTCAGAGCCCGGGTGAGTCACAGGATTACCTGCTGCCATCCATTCGTTGGCCGCTGCCGGTTTAGAGTCCAGCCTGGCCCTGGATAAAGCAGTTGATAATCTCTTCGGGGCTGTTTTGTTTCAGCAGCACATTATAAACCACGTGCGTCTGACTTCTGCGTATTCTCTAGGTGTTTTCTCCTAGTCAGACCTGGAAAATACAATAACCTGATGGAGAAGGGCCCGTGGGCTGGCAGGGGAGCGACTGGGCTTCTGGCGGGATTGGGGAGGTTTGCTCTCCCTCCTCCCATCTCTTCCCTGCCTCCTTCCCCCTTCATTTCCCTTTCCCCATAGATTTCTGACCGGAGGCTGCTGCGCGCTGCGGGCAGTGCTTCCTCATACCTAGCTTGTACCCCGTACGTACGAGGATGGCGAAAGGGACGTTTCTGCCCACGCTGCTGTGCTGGCAGGGGATGCTCATGTGCCTGAGGACTCCGAGCGTGCGCTGCGGCGCAGAGCACTTTGGGGAATGAGTGCCGCGTCACTGGCCGGTCACCGTTGGTGTCAGGAGAGGAGAGCTGCTCTGAACGGGCTCCCGGGACTTGAAACGTGCTGTGGAATGTCAGATCTCACCACATAAACGTCCTATTTCATCAGCCAGTGTGGTGCACCCCCAAAGGGTCACATCTTCTTAGAGACACACCGTAGTTATGTCATAAGTTTTTAAAGTATGAGGCATTTTCTCTACTTGTATTTGCTATCCCCTGAACCAGATTCCTTTACGTGTCAAGGTCCTAGTATCCTTTCTATTTACTGGATGCCATTCAGGTGCATTTTGTAAAACAACATATGATTGTAGTGTCTTAAGTACTAGGTACCAAAGCACAGCCGATAGGTATTGGCAGATACTGGGAGTTCTTCCCACTCCTCCCTGTCCTCCCTCATCCCTCGCCATCTTCAGTAGGGCACTAGTGTAAAATCTATTAAACACTCTGCATGTTACTTTTGTGCTCATTTACCCGCACTACCAGGATGCCTCTAATTAAATTAGTGGATTCAATATTGTGAGCAGACTTTATGATTATTTTTTTGTTTGTTTGCCTGTATGAAGTCCTTTTACTGCGTTACGGGTGTCAGAAGTGATGGATAGCTAAATAAAAGGCTTGGATGAAAAAACCTGGTAACTAGGAGGCAGGCTCCTTCCAACCCAGAGCAGCACATCTGAATCGCCACCTGTTTTAGGAGAGGTTTATGGCAGCCAAGGAAGACCAAGATGAGGATGGACAGATTTTTCCTTGCTGTTGGATTGCCTTCACTGTGGACTGGGCAGAGGCAGCGCTGTGTGCTACAGGAATGAAACTGCCTCTGCAGAGTCAATAAATCCTCTGCTGTTCTCTGTGCTTCTCAGGTGGAAAAGATTAACCAGATTTCCCTGAGACCTCTGGGGATATCTTTCCCTGTTTTTCTACTCTTTCCTTCTCCTTTTTTCAAACACTTACATCAGAGAATGCCAGTAGTGAAAGGGCATTGTGTCTGGTCAGTCTTTGGAAAATTTTTATACATTTAAAATATCACAAACAAATGTGTGTCAATTAAAAAGAATAGCTGTTCGAGTCCACAGGTGCCAAAACTACTTGCTTCACTACTTTTTTTCTTTGCTTTTTTTTTTTTTTAACCAAGTTCTTGTTCTTGCCCCAACAGCACAGTCCCTTCTTTGCGGAGCAGCTGACGGCTTTCCAGGTGTGGCTGACCATGGGTGTGGAGAACCGCAACCCCCCGGAGCAGCTCCCCATCGTCCTGCAGGTGAGCATGGGGCAGGGAATCGGCCGCGGGGACACTTTGTGCTTTTGCCTCTCCCTGCCCGCCAAGTGCTGCGCCATCGGCCAGATGGCGTTTGGGTACGTAAATGACCTGGGCTCCTTCAGGGGTAATTAGAGCTGATTGCATGTTTGCTAGACCTGTGCAGATGAAGACAGAGTGCTTTTTTTTCCCCTGTACCTTTGCTCTCTGTAGAGCAAAACTTCCCGCCATAGTCCATTTGCAGCTTCAGCAGTATCGGGCTCTGCTGCCTCCTCTCCTGCTCTGAAGGAGCAAGACTTCTTCACGGAGTAGCACATCTTTGTTGTTTTCTGCTGTAGTATCTCCTCTTATATGCCAGCTCTGTCAGGCAGACACTTTATCTTCTCTCTGTTTTCAAGCAAGTGGAAGTTACTGCAGTGTAAATAGTTTGGAAATGGCTTCTTTATCTGTCTGGTACAGCCTGGAGAGTGTTCCCTTTAATGTGGTGCTGAAATTTTGCTGCAAGAACATAGGAACAAGTCTCTGAAGGCCATGCCTGGAAGGAATGTAGAGTTCTGGTAGGCATTTGCTCAGACTAGACAAAGTTCATGTGTATAAAGGAGAAGTAAATCTAGGAGAAAGGTAATGCCTCATTTCAAATAACGTTTTATGGCAAGGCATATATTACAGTAGTCATCTGCTCTTGCCCTCTCCGCCCCCAGGAGTTTGTATTGACAGGAATATAAACCCTCATCAAGGTAGCTGTGGGCTCTTCTCTACCAGGCAGCAAAAGCCTTTCTGATGAAAGGAACAGGGTTCCAGTCACTTGTACAAGGACATGCGATTTCTGTCACTAAATGGGAGAAGACTCGCCTTCCCTCTGTTAGCTACCAGCTTGGTTTGTGACTGACAGCACCATCAATCTCTGTAAGACCAAATCTGAATTTCTCTGAGCCTGCCAAGCCTTGGGAGAGCAGTTGGAGAAGCAGAGGGATGGTTTCTCTCTGTCACTGCAATGGGAGAAGGCAGGCTTCTGCTCCAGCACCAACTTTGCTGCTTTCCAGCAAATTCTTTGGCACCGGAGGGCTCTGCAGGAGCTTAGCTTTGCAGTGGAGTTGAGCGGTCACCTGGCAAAGGAACCTGCTTTCCTTCCTGGCGCAAAAATGAACTAGGAACATAGTTATTCTTATAATTAAAGCATGTTAATTGTATAGTGGAATAAGATTGCTTGTTAACAGGCGTGAGATACTTTGAATCGGAGGCCAAGTGATTAAGAGAGAGAAGGAAGTGCATTTCAGGCCCCTTTTGCGTGTCTCTTTGCTTTGACCCCTTGGGAGTGCTTAGACTCCGCTGCTGTAGCCTAACAAAGGTGGAGTCTGTTTTCCCATTTTGGATGTGCCCCCAGGGAAAGAAGGTATTTGAGCGCCAGGGCAATGAGGCCAGCCATGCAAGGCTTGAGTTTGTCAAGGACGGGGAGATGGCCCTTTGTAAATGGCCTTTTATTGACTTTGAGAAGTTGTTTTCCATTTTGAACTCCTGCTGTGCGTAGGGCAGATTGGCACAGGTGGCTTCCTGGTGCAGCGAAGAGAGAAGTCATCAAAGAGGAGTTGGTGTATGCACGCCTGAACGAGCCCGAGCAGCCAACGCTTGATCCTTGTGGAGGTTCCTCCTGCCGTGCGATCTCCAGCGCCCGAGGACAGGAGTAACGCTTGCTCCGCAGAGGGCCACGGGGAGAGCACTGCTCCAGTCCCTTCCTCCGTCCTGCCCTTGTCAGGAGACTCCTGCTCGGATGTGGACTCTTACTTCTAAATTATCCTCTGGCATCCTGGCTTATCTGGGACTTGCACGTGTGGGCATAATTAGCTGCCCTGTCTTCTGTTCAGGACTAACGATGAGCAAATGTCAGGGAGGGCTGTGATGCAGTGCTGTGTGCGTATAGTGGCACGGTGTAGCAATTTCATAATTTCACCAAAAGTTCGTAACTCGTGCATAGACTCCCCACACCCTCATCCAAGTCTCTAGAATTTCTGACAATTATGGCATCAGGTTATTGTGCAGATCACTTTGGAAAGAGGGAATATAAAAACCTGAGAGAAGCTGATGGCTTTTTTGGTTTTGAACATAATGAAACACAACTTTTAAAATAAGACACGATTTGGTTAAAGGTTCTTGTGGGATGACAGCAGTGATGAGATGGGGGTTTGTATCTTCACCTGGAAATCCTTTTCAATTGCATCCATTGTTTTTCCCCAGCTACAACAGACTTTGTGGATTTACTTGGGTTTTTCCCTGAAGGTCAGATAATAACAGCAGCGTCAAATCCATATGCCTGCCCGGCTGCACCTAACGTGTTCCTGCGGGTTGCCTCAGCCCTGCCCCAGCTTCCCGCGTGCCCCGGTGGTTCTTGCTGCTTTAATCTCAACAGCTGCCCCTGTTATTCCCGTGCTGGGCATCTTTAGCGCACATTGTTAATCCTGCCAAGTTCTGCGGTGAGTTTATGGGATAGGCTGGTGCCAACTAGGGCAGGATGACCAAAATCCTTTCTCTTATGACCTGTCCCGAGAGCTGAGCTCCGATATTCAGAGGTGAAACGATTAGAGTAGTTAACACATCCTCCTGTCGTCTCCTGGACTTTCTCTGCACAAGTTGAGTATCTAGTGTCTGTTGTCCGTAGTGTGAGACATGAGCCAAGTAATTTAGTTATTCTTCAATGTTAAACATGAAAAGTAATTTAATTTGAATGTGCAGTTGTGGAAAAACACTGAGAAGGGGATGGAATGGGGGAGCTAAATCAGTGAGTCTTTCCCTGAGACCCATGCTGAGGGATGTTACTCAGTTTAAACTGAGGATTAAACGTTGCATTCCAATATCTTACATCTGTTAAGGAGATTAAGAACTGAAAGTCTGTCTGTTAATATTTCACACCAGGGTAGGTATAAGCCAGTAAACTACCACCTCATTATCGTTGTCAGACTCTGTTTTAATGAGATTTTTATTAACGACTAATGTGACCTTTTGCTTCCCTCTTAAGTCTCTTACATCGATTTGCCAAGGAAAGCAAAGCCTCTTTTTCTGCTTCTGAGCTGTTTTGAGTAATGGGAGGCTGGGCCTTTTCCTCAGCTTTGAATCCTTCCTGCACATCCAGTCGTGGCGGTACAGTGGGAATATCTGAAACCCAGAGGGGCCGTTTCCATGTAGCAGAGCCATGCTGCACAGGAACCACTGCCCTCGGGGAACAAGGAGCAGAGAGAGCAACTGGAGGGTAACCGCATTCCTAGGAAAAAGGCGTGTTTGTCTGCAGAAACCTCACGAAGGAGAGCGTTGGCTGGAGGGCAGTGACCCACTGGTGACACTGTTCAGTGGGTGAAGGTTTTCAGCATCAGGACCTCCAGCTTTTATGTTCAGTCTGTTCAAAGTCACGTAGCGATCCTGAGGTGCCCTTACGCTTGCTCTGCAGTCACAAGGGTTTTGCTCTTTTCAGTAACAACCGTTGTCCCTCTCCTCTGCAGGTGCTGCTGAGCCAGGTACATCGGCTGCGAGCTCTTGACTTGCTGGGAAGATTTTTGGACCTGGGTCCCTGGGCAGTTAGCTTGGTGCGTGGATGTTGCGTATTGTCACGTAAAAGTCTAACTTCTCTCAGTATAGACGATAAATACAAACGTTGATTTATGGAAGGAGGATGTGGAAGATACTGCACAGGTTTGACAAATGGCCAGTGTTTTGTGTGTTCTTCATGCGCGTGAAATGGAGCAAGCATCCCTAAAAGAAAAGTGGTTTGTATTAATCAAGAAGGCCGAATAGCTGTTTGTATTACTACGGATAGGTTAGTGTAAAGTATTGGAAGGGACAAAACAGGATGAAATATCTGGGTCAAAATATCTAGGTCAAATAAGCAGGTTTGTCATGTAAAATAAATAACAAAAAAACCCCCACATATGTTTATCATCTGCGCTCTCAGCTTACTGGCTGCATCATTTTCTTCTCTTCCTTTATCTGTTTGGTCTCTGGATTTTATAAGCTCTTCTGAGAGGCAGCAGCTGCCTTCTGCATTTTGCAAAGTGGCTAGCACAGTGCAGATAACAAATGAGAATTAAACAGAGGAGCCCTTTAAAACACTCTGGTAAATGCAGCTATTTGTTGATAACGAGGATAGAGACGAATCACCAACTGGTTGTGGAATAGCTCTTCGGTAGGACTTCTTAGTGGTTTTCTTTACCATCCTTCCTCATCTCAGCCAAGACTCCCTCTGCATGCCGTCGTGGCCAGCTTGGCCCTCAGTGGTAGGCAGACAGCGTGCATTAGGGGTGATTTTAAGCCCTCCTCCTACGAACATCGGCACGCAGCAGCAGGTCAGCCCCAGCAGCCTTTGCTCTGGCTGTTACCTGCTTTATGAAGCCCGTTGGCCGCGTCGCTGGGTGATGCTCGGCTGCTGCCCGGTGGTGTGGGTGGTGCCCCCCTGGGAGCCCCGTGCTGCAAGTGCAGCCCCTCGCCATACGTTTCCTGTACGTTGTGCTTTGGGGAGGGTGTCGGCAATCACAGTGGGATTCTCAGAGATTTCACGTGTTGCGTGTCCTCCTGTGAGCATAGTCTAATCCCATGGCAAAGGCTTGGTAAAAAGTCTGTGTCAGGCGAGAGGCCTATTTCATTTCCAGTGGGAAGGCTGTAATTATTGAGCTTTTGCGACATATTTACTTGTGAGAGCAAACGGCCCCATCTGAGGAGAGCGCAACGTATCATGAAGCATAAAATAGCACAGGCTGTAACGAGTAGAAGTAGTGCTAGATTAACTCTGAGTCTCCACGGACCAAATGAGTCTGAAAATATCTGGTGACATCCAAGATTAAAACGAGCAATAGACAAATACACAGGGAACCCCTCTTTACTGGGAATGTACGAAATTGTTTTCTACCAGATTCCTCATCTGTGTCGTTAACTATGCTGCAGCGTGGCAGAGCTCGGTGCTGCCTCCGCAGTAAAGCCGAGCCGTTCACCAGGCTTTGCTCTTCTCTCTGGCTCTCCAGGCCCTGTCCGTTGGCATTTTCCCGTATGTGCTGAAGCTACTTCAAAGTTCAGCTCGCGAGCTGAGGCCGCTCCTTGTCTTCATCTGGGCCAAAATTCTGGCAGTGGACAGTGTGAGTACTTCCGAACTTGGCTGTTTCTTTGGGTTTTCAGCAACGTGCCCCCTCCCCACCTCCTCGTGTGCTTTATCCAGTTGCTTTAGAATTGAGATTTTCTCCTGAGACACTTCAAAAAGACGCTGTATTGTCTGGAGACCAGTGTATTGTCTCATTAATTTATTCCACTTGCATAAAAGCTAGCTTCTGAAACTCTGCGAAGGGGAAACCCTCCGGGAGGTGCTGACAGGTGGTTTGGCTGCCGCCCTCTTCATCCCTGCCCAGGACAAAAGCAGGTTTGCTCCGTCTGCATTAATGCTACACCACACTAACACCTCACGGTTCCTGGTTCCCCCTTTGGTTCGAGGCTGTAGGTGCGCTGGGTAAAAGCCATCAGACCCTGCTGATTGCGTCTTTATTGGGGAAAATATCGCTTTGCTTGCTGAAGGCGCTTGAAGTGCACTCCTCACACGTTCCCGGGTGAGAGCGCGTGTGCACACGCTCATACTCTCCCTCAATTTGTTCACTGGACATTGTGATCAAACCTGTTCTGTTCAAGACTGTTCCTGCCAGTTGTCAAATCAGGTAGTCCTCAGGCACAGAAGTCTTCTAGAAATAATGCAAAAGTAATTTTTGGTGACTCTAACGTAGAAGTCCCACTCCAGGTCTAATGCTGATGCACTGAAGATGGTTGGCATAGAATTGTTTACCCCCCTAGAAGAGAAGTTATTTCTGTTGTGGGTCCGTGATTCTGATCTTCTCTAAAAATACTTTGGCACCTTTAGGGATAAGGTTTAAAAACTGAGCTGTGATTTTTAAAGATGGCCTTAACCGGAGCTCTAGTTTGTGGGATTTTAAATAAATAATTAAGCAGGTAAGTAATTGCAGATAAATTTGTGTAGCCGTATATATGACTCTGTGGTTTGTGGGTGCAATTAGTTGAGCAATGTAAAATTATTAGGAGTGGTGCACACGGTTAATTGTGGGCACAATTATGAGCTGATACGAAATTGTCTGAACTGCTCATAGAAGTTGGATCTTGCCTGTTTGGGGGTTTATTTTTGTTCTATCTTCCATTTCAATATCGAGAATAATATTGAATTTCTTGGAATTTTTGCCCACTGTTGATCTAGCATTGTCAGGTTTAGTTTTATAAATATATTTTCATTAACATCCTAAGAGGATTTTGGAAAGCAAAGAAAATGAAAACTATTCATCTTAAAGCTACTCTTGAAAAGCTTGGTTTTGATGCATGCCTCTCCGTGGCTGGTGCTTCAGCCCCAGGTACGTTTGAGTAGGCTCATGTATAATTTACACAGAGTGTCGTGCCGTCCTTCAGTGCCTCTGGGGGAAAACCAGTCTGAGAGGGCTCTTTCCCCGTTATCCTCTCCTGTCACCGTCGGTATTGCTCCCTCCCATACTCTCTTTTATTGCCCCACTCCTTCGGTAGCCTGTGCTTTAAAAGAAAACAGCAGCAAAAATACTCTTAAATTTCCTATTGGGATTTCTTTCCACTTTCCACAAGTGGTGCAGGTGAGAAGGGAGGAGAGGGCAGGAAAGGGCAACGGATGGGTGCTGCCGAGGGAGGGGACAGGCAGCGACTTGAGTCGTCGCACTGTACAGGGAACAAATACGCCACCATACCAAAAGCTAAAAGAATACTTTCTTGTTATGTGCTAAATATCAATACAGACGTGTCGTTTCCCTCCTCTGCTGACACAAGGTTTGGCCGTGTATGTTTTAAACAAATTCATTCCCAAAGTTTAACAAAAACCAGTACTGCAGCATGCGTGTCGTGTGGATTCCAAGCTCTCCAATGCTGCAGCCTGCTCCGCTTCCCCGACCCGCAGCGTTTCCGGGGGGTAAATTTGTCTAAACGAAGCGCAGGACCAGTACCTGGTGCTCCAGGAGGAGAGGCGGTCAGTTAGCGTTGTGGTTTGTGACCTGAGCCAGGGAGAGTGCGCTACGTGTGTGTAAGCACTATTTTCTCAGCGACGGCCTTTTTATAAGACCCGCGAGGGGACGACGACTGCAGGGCACGCTCTGAGCACGAGGGCAGCGGTCGGGGATGCTGGCCGAAGGGCGGATGCGGTAATTAATTGTTAGGCTGCGTGGGAGTGCTGCGTGGGTGTGGGGGTGCCATTATCTCCCTGCGCCGGGCGTGCTCTACCTGGCTCGGCTCTTTGAGTGGTGCTGTGCCCGTCGTCCAGGCAGAAGCCATTGCCCAAGCGTGTGAGAGCATGTTGGTTTTCAGCCATTGTCAGATAATCATCTTCGCAACAGTTGTACGGTGCTGTCTCCTTCATCTTCCATCCCCTGTCTGCACCTTTCGTTTGGATTCAGCAGACTGTAGCCGATGAAATTACTTTCCTTAGGACTGGGGTTCAGCTGATTGCTCACCCCTTTTGGCATTGGGACGTGGCTGAGAACAAGTTATAGAAGACTCGGTAGTGCCCCGGAGAGCAGAATTTCCTGCTAAGACAATATTTCTGTTCTGGTTCCTCCCTCCCTTTGGGCAGGGAGGCAGAGGGAAGGTGTTCTGACGTGAGACAGCAGCGTGGTGTGCCACGTGCCCGTTCAGATGATACCTTCAGTAAGCATGGTGTGCGGTGAGGAACTGTTTTCTCATTAAAATTACAGGATAAATCAACTCTATTATAGAAACATTGCATCTAGGACAGATTTGTTTGTGCGTGATATATAGGTGTCCCTAATAAACACTGGAATATTTAGATAAATCTTTAATTCCATGTATAATCAGATGTTTTTTCATGGGATGTTCATCGTGGACTGTAGCCACCTCTGCCTGAAGCCTGCCGGAGTATTGCTAGACAATCCGCCCGCAGAGCTGCGTAGCGAGCGATGGTTCAGAGTTGCCTGCTGTGGTATCTGCCAGGTGTGGGCTGGGGTAGGAGTAGCTTGTGCTGCCGTGTGGACGTGACCGTATAACATGCAAATACAGTTTTGGTCAAGAATTTGCCATGTGCTACATTGATAATGTTTGGTAAACAGCACCATCTAAATCTTAAATACTTGAATTTCTACTAGAAAGAAAATGAACTCTATCTCAGCTGACACCAGGACAAAAGGGAAACAAATCCCCCCTCACCTGTAATAAGGATTAGAATCAGGAATTTAAACAAGACCAAAAAACCCTGCACGTTAAACGGTGCTGAAAGTGTGAATGCTACTAAAGTGGGACAGCAAAAAAGAGATCTTTCCGCTCCAAAGGATTGGCTGAAGGCAACAGAAAACAAACATTTCTCCTACTTTTTAAAGCAATGGAGTGATATAAACGGCATGCATACTTTCCAGATGTCTACTTTGTTAGCAGGATTGTGACTACATCTCTCATCTGCTGATTAACACAGATATGCAAGTTGAGTGTTCCCTGCGGATAATTTGGTAAAGCTGCCCGCCGCTGGGTGAGGGCTCGGAGCAGCGTGTGGCCCAGGACAGCCCCGAGCCGGGGCAGTGCTGCTGTATTCCAGGCACGCGCGAGATGACACAGCACGTGTCGTATTAAGGAGAGAGAGGAGATCCGTGCTCTGGTCCCTCCCCAACACTCGGAACTTCATATGTTATGTAAGTTCTGAACTCCCGCTCCGAGCCTGCAGCTTGTTTTGGTCGTGTTGTGTTATTATTCACAATATAGCTGCTTATTCCTGGAGGAGGAGGTGCTACTGATGCTGGCTTTCCAAATCGCTCCCAGGATCTAAGCAGGGAGGGTTTAGAGAAGCTGCCTCCGTCCCTCGAGCCTCCGGTGTTTGGGTACCAGTGCAGCGCAATAAATGTGGCGTGAAGATGGGCAGCCTTCTCTTCGCTGGTGTCCGTTTGCCTGCGTTATAGCGAAGAGACTGGGTTTTGTAAGGAACAGAAAGTATTCACACTGAGAATGAAAAGGGGGAAAGCAGAAGCCTGTTTTTATGCAGCGTTACACAGAAGTGAGGAAAACCTCTCCTAGCTGCAGCCTGGCATCAATCCATTCCCTCTGCTCTTTGGTGTGCCAAACCCAGCATCTTTACTCCCTTCAGCAATAAAATATTCTCTTGCATCTCTGTCTTGCCATCCCCTCTCCTTTCAACAATTAGTTCCCTCCGTCACCTTCTATGTCTGATAAAAAATACATGATCCTGTTTCTGGCGTGAAGCATACAATAGAACCACAGTCACAGGGGAAACTGATTGCCAAGTCAGTATTTCCTCCCTTAAATTTTCACTTTCATAGTATGTATTCTTTTGGTTTGGCCCTGATATGTCAACCCGAAGCCCGAGTTGGTATGTTAGCAAAAACACGGTGTGCGCCCGTGCTTCGCTGCTGATCCTACCCCAGGAAAACCTGCGTAATTCTCCCTGCAGGCTTTTAAAGTCAGTGGAGTTGCATTGCAGGTTTTGGTTGTGTGTAGAAGGAGATGGTGTGCTATGTGCTGCTGCTGCGGCGATGTAACGCCTGTCAGCACTTGACCAAATAATACAGCGGTTCCTCTCGTTTGTGTGGATGAGTTGAAATCTAGTCCTGCCTAGGTGGGGGATTGGGTAGAATATAAAGAATTAATAATTCCTCCTCCGCCCCCACCCTTACAGATTTACTGGTAATCGCTCAGTGATGTGGGTCACAGTCAGAGCACCATGTCACAGGTTTGTCACGTGCAGCAGCCTCCACGAGTGGTCCTGCTTGGCGAGATGGTATTTAATGTCCACAAACACTGTCACGTCCCGGCTGCCAGGCTGAGCTGGACGATCGGCTGCGGCGGTGCGGCAGGAACCGGGCACCTCCC